TATGAGAAAGAAGGTATACATATGAGAAAGAAGGCATACATATGAGAGCCGTTTGAGTTATCCACATCAGTACTTTTAATAAAGGTTATTTTTAGGCAAGAAGTAAACATGCATGCAGACAAATGTAGCCTGATCACACACATAAGGAAGGTACACACACACACATAAGGAAGGTGTACACACACACACATAAGGAAGGTGTACACACACACATAAGGAAGGTGTACACACACACATAAGGAAGGTACACACACACACATAAGGAAGTTATACACACACACACATAAGGAAGGTACACACACCCACATAAGGAAGGTGTACACACACACACACATAAGGAAGGTACACACACACACATAAGGAAGTTATACACACACACATAAGGAAGGTGTACACACACACATAAGGAAGGTATACACACACACATAAGGAAGGTGTATACACACACACACATAAGGAAGGTACACACACACCCACATAAGGAAGGTGTACACACACACACACACACACACACACACATAAGGAAGGTGTACACACACCCACATAAGGAAGGTATACACACACACACATAAGGAAGATATACATACACACACACAAGGAAGGTATACACACACATAAGGAAGGTATATACACACACACATAAGGAAGGTACACACACATAGGGAAAGTACACACACACACACATAAGGAAGGTATACACACACACATACACACACGTCTGTAACAAGGTCACAAAAAACTTACCTGGCTTTGATGGCTTTATGAAAAGTTACACTAATTCAAGCATTAAACAAAGAAAAGTATAATCTCCAAGTATAACTTTTTACTCTTATGATTTCCTGTACTCTCATCTAATTAAAGTGCTAACCACTTTGCAAACAGGCACAAAAGATTGTCTGTTTTGCTCATTTTCTTTCAAAATTGGTGACCATTTTCGGGTTCCACATAAGATACACATCATTTGCAAAGTTCATAAATTTTTTTTTTAAAATCACAATGATATTTAGGAGGAGTTAATATTGGCCCTAATAGCAAATGCAGACATTCTGGGCTCTATCTATCCCTTATCAATGGAACCTAGCTTCATACAGAATCCAAACTTGAAATCTTTACCTGCAAGGATGGAGAGGTCTGATATTCAGGTCAGGTGGGTGTGGTTATTTTGGGGAGTGCCAGACTGATAAAAAAAATGTACACCACCAACGATACATATTTTCATGTGGGCAAAGGGGTACAATGCCTCCAACCTTACCTGCGATGGGCAGGTATTTAAGGAACCACGACTACAGTCCCTAACAAAGCCAAACATTTTAGCTCCCAAACTCATTTCTTGTCTTTCTTGGGGGGGCCAGGGGATGCGAGGGGTTGTTTTTTTGAGACAGGGTTTCTCTGTATAACAAAGTCCTGGCTGTCTTGGAACTCTATCTGTAGACCAGGCTGGCCTCAAACTCACAGAGATCTGTCCGTCTCTGCTTCCGGAGTGTGGGGATTAAGGGTATTTGCTACCACTCCCAGCTTCAAACTCATTTCTCGCAGGTTCTAGTTAAGTTTCACACACACCCTTTTGGCTAATGTCTTTATAAACCATCACATCAACGCACACTTTTGGAAAGTGTTTTTTCCTTTCTTTTTTGAACAAGGTCTCGGTTTCTGCGCTGGGATGACTTTGAACTCACCACCCTCCTGCCTATGTATCCAAGTGCTGGGACTAGAGGCATGAGCCAACACACCCAGTTTAAACCAGCAGGGCAGAAATGGGCGAACAAGTGCCGAGGGGCGGGCTAAGCCAAAGGCCTCTTCTCCAAAGCTGCACTTTAGAGTCCAGGCTGTCCTGAAGTTCCTTGTGCTTGGCCAGGAGGCATAACATCTTTCCCAGGGGATTTCCTCCTGCTTCCACACAACTTCTGATTAAAACTGAGGATGGGGCAGAAACAGAGCCTGGGAGAGAGGTGACTAGATGATCCACTATAGCCTAGGTTGTTTGTTTGTTTACCTAAAAACAAGTTTTCCCAACACCTGTATGTTAGGTCAGTTCAGTCCCAACCATCCTCAATAATTCGAAAAGCATTCAATATTCTAGTATTTTCTTGAAAAAAAATTTCTTTCCTTCAGTGATCCAAGTGACGGGCAGGTTCGCAGCTCCATCTTACATGTGTGTTACAATGGTAATCTTCATTTTAATTTCCAATGAGGGGAGAAGAAAGGCCACTCTGAAAGCCCCTCGGGGTCCCCCTCATACCTCTCATTCCTCTTCATAAAAGAGGCTGCTGTACAACTAAGAAGTAACTAAAGATATTTGAGTGCCTTCTCCTGCCACAGTGTGCTCTCTGGGTCCGGATGGAACTTTTGGCTATAGTATTCTAGAATCTGCGTCATGTATGCAGGGATTAGAGGATGGGGGAGGGGGAAAGAACTGGACAAATCTCCCTCTGGCTCCCAGGAGCTAAAGATGCACTTCTGTTCAGAGTATTTCCCTTTTGAATGTGCAGTTTTCAACGCACACTTAGGCACGATAAAATTCCATTAATGTTCTCCATTCCAGCTGGAAAACACGCACTTCCAACTATTTTGGAATACACAGGGAGCAGAGACTCTTCTCCTGGCTGTGGAACTCAAATCTGATTTTGTAAAGACAATCCAAATGACTTAGCAAATCAGATTCCACTCCTTCACTGGGAAAGCAGATGCCGGTCACCCCGAGGCGGCATTGGAAGGTGGGGTGTGCATCTACCTCTTTACAGCAATGTTGGGGGGTGGGATCTGGAGGGGCAGGCGGACGCTGAGGAGTGAGGGTATTGCTCTCCGACACCAGTTCACCGCAGAACCACAGCTGTCTCCCAGCACAAGGGTTTTCTTGCCCTGAACATTTCCCAGATGAAACCTTTTTTCTTGTTTAAATCTACTGAAAACAACTCTCCTGGTATTAGGTCTTCTGCTCTGACTTTCTCTAGCTAAAAATCCTTTAAGCCAGGACAACGCCTGTCTCAAGACCCTCACAGTCATAACTGGATTTCAGAGGGGATACTGGAGAGACTGCATGAAGGCAGCTTCCAAACTCACTGTCCGACCACACTGCATCACGACTGTCCATGGCTCAGCTACAGTTCACAGGTGGAAGGGAACTTGCATTTAAGGGGCTTCTCGGGGACCTCTTTCTTCAGTTTAATTCCTTCCCATGAAGCAGTTAGACTTTGCTTACGTCTTGTCTAAATAAATAGAATTTCTTAAGCACATTTCAAAGTAATTTATGTGACTAAAACGGCATTCCCCAAGAGGGCAGAGGAGTACCGTGTTTAAGTACATAAGGAAGCACGCACGCACATGGGAATGCTGGATCACCCCTTTCACCCTGAGCTCCAAAGGGCCACGTCCCTGAATAGAGGAGGACCTCGAAAGGCCACTGATTTGAGAGATTATGGAATTTTACTTTAATCTTTCTAGGTTTTCAGTCCCGACAGTAGTCTCTGAATGGAGGAATGCACAGAGCCGGGGATTCCCTCTAATGACAAGAATGTTTAAGTACAATTAGTCATATTTTTGAAAGCCAACAACTGTTTTCCAATAGAGTGGGACACTTTATTTTTTGTTTCAAGCTGGATCCCAAATTACTGTATTTTTCTTACAATAGAGCTGAACTTTTATTTGAGGTTCTCTATTTCTGAAAAGCAGACATGATGGATTGAAATAAAAGATAATTTATTGCAATGCTTACTTTCCTGTGCAGAGAGACGCGGTGTAATTGTAATTTACTGTAGCTGTCAAAGAAAATCCATCACAGATGACATTAAAATGACTTATTTTGCCTGAGCCACTTATTGTTTAAATGTGCATAATCTAATAGAAAGAGATTATTTTTTTTAAAAAAAGTCTGCTTCGTATTGTTCTAAATTAATATTAAAACATATACTTATGAATTAAACATTCGAAAACCATTTATTGAGAGTTTTATCATGACATCTCCCACTGTAAGTTTAAATTATTTTTGAGTGAACTGTCATAGATTAGTGATGCAAGTGGCTGCATCTTCGTGCTCTCCTCACACGTATGGATCATCCAGAGATTACTGCAGAGCAAACGCGGCCAGAGAGCGGGTGTAATAGCACCATGGCCTAGAGGTCACTGGGCGTCGCTCATGAAGCCACAGGGCACAGAGAAAACCGTCTTTGTGGAATCATTCTAACTGTCATTTCTTCAGAGACACCCTCCTATTCTTTTGGTTTCTGAGCAGGATTTCAAGGTCTCTGGTAGTGACCTCAAGGTTTGGGGGAGCATACAAGAATTTCAAGCTGCCTGGGTGTCCAGAGTGTATCAGAAGAGGGAGGACAGGGCAGATGGTGACAGGCTGTCTTCAAGAAAGGAGACCAAGTCTAAAAATATTTGTAAGCCTTTGGTCCGTAAAGATTTCAAGTACTTTTTGGCTCAAAGATGGATCTCGTTTGTTTATTTACTCCCTAAATATTTTTCCTGAATAAAATAGGCAAAACAATAGATGCTCAGAAATACTGCTTTAATGCACCAGGACAAAACATTTGTCAGACTTGGGGCCGGTTTCCTCGCCAATGGCAGACAGAAACTCTTTAAATAATGAAATGCATTAGGGTAAGAGTAAAAAAGTTCATTGTCTGTCATTTTTCACGTCGTTTTCTGTGTGCGGCTGTTAGGGCTGATCCGGTTTTCAAAGGAGCCTGTTCATGCAAATTCCCACTCTGCCCAAACTGACCTACGCATCCAGACAGCTACACTGCAATGTCACTTCGGATCCCACTCTTCTGCTGGTTTTTTTTTTTTTTTTATGTAGCTGGAATTAATGTAGTGAATATGTAATGAAATGCATTATCCTGCATGGAGATTTATCAGATTTTCCGACTGAACGCTGGGCTTTGCAAGTACTAGCTGGAGTTCACCTGCATGTTGGTGTGGCGTGTGGCTCTTTTTTGTAAAGAGTTAAGTCGTATACAAAAAGAGGGAACAAAGGTCAGCGCCCAGCCACCACTTGAATGTGAGATTTTTCTTTTTATTCCCCTTGATGTATACTAGGCTCTGTGTTATTAGTCTTAATGATGGAAAATTGTAGTGTTGATACAAATCTTTTTTTCAAAGTAGTAGGCGGGAGCTCCATTTGTTAGTAAGTTTTTTTGCGACTAAAAGCCACGGACAGTACATTTATGTAGCAGTAAAAGGCCTGGATGCTCTTTCCATAGCAGAGCTAATTATTCCTACTGTGACCTTACTGATCTAGCCTGTTCCTAGTACATCTCATCTGCACGCCTGTTCCTCTGTGTAGATGGTGTCAGAGAATATGAAAAACCCTATAATGAAACCATTTTCATGATGGAGGAAGGCTACTGGAGTTGCACTTGCTACAAAGAGGCTCAATTATATGAGTAATTGTGATAATTTTCTACATTCATAGCCTTCAATGGGGAAAAAAGAATGAGAGCCACAAAGGAAAATTACTTTAACAAGAAAGTACAGAGAGTAAAAATGGAAGAAGAGACAAAAAAAGGGAAAAAATAACCAGAAAAAAAAGTTTAAAAAATAGATCTGGAGGGAGGAATAGCGAGACAAGGAGAACAACAGAGTGCTCAAAAGCCCGCGTGCAGCTGTGTTGCACAATTAAATTGAATTTTTTTTCTGCAGTTGATGAATGTGACTACCGCAAATGTGCCTCTGTAGTTAGCTATCATTTGTTGTTCCCTGACAGGAAAAGGATAATTACCTCTCAGAGAGAATCAAAGGCTGACATGCCCTTTAGACACAGCCATGAATGCAGAGCTCCACAGAATGCCTGAATAAGAATCCAGTGTTCTCTGCCCCCTTCTACTGAAGAATAAATTTTGTTAAAATGCAAGAGCGCCACCAGTAAATTTGTTGAACCCTAGGTGTTCAAAAATATGAGGTGCATCTATCGACTCATCCCATTTGCAAAAGTAAAACTGCATTTTGAATTCATTTCTATTATATTCATGGACAGTAAGATAGTGAGATATGCATTAAATTTCTTTTCCCAGTAGGGGTCTGATTCAACATTTCCTATGAAAGAACGGAGAGACACTATCCTTTTTTCCCAGGCTAGTTAGCCTATAATTTAAAACTGTCAAAAACACAATTTTGTTCAAAGTCTTCAATAAAAGCTTCTCAGATATAACCCAAAGAGATTTTACTAAAGTTTGATTCAGACACTGTTACAATATTTTTAAAGCCATAAATACATTTAACTGATATTTTACTGCCTTTTTTCTTAAAGTATTTGAAGGCGTGCTCAGAGGAAAAGGCAGCATCTTTTCAAGGTGACTGAGCTTTCTGTCCTCCGGGCAAACGGGAGCGCTCAGAGGCCCAGGCTCACATTAATGAGAACAGCACTCTAAAGGGGACTGGCCGATCATCTTTAACAAAATGTGTTACTTTTCAATGAAAACACATATTCTGCATGTCTACTCCAAAACATTTAGGGGAAGAAAAAAAAGCTCTGAAAGTGGGAAACAGATCACAAAGAAAAGTCTCGAGTTCAGAAAATACGCTTACACTCAAAAAAGCAGGCCTAGGAAAAACTCTGGGGAAAGTAAACAATGTTTTATAGGGAAAACGGCCCAGAGAAAAAGGGACACAGAACGGCCTTTCAGGCTGCTGCGAGCTCACACTTCTGATCCTGGCAGCACTGGAATGCTTCCCCTCATTTCCTTATAAAATGGAGTTTTCTCCTTTCTCACCCTCTAAGGGCTGGGGCGATCAGCTCCTTTCTTAGGTCCCTTCTTCCCCACTTGATAAAGGAACATCACAGACCAGCATGTCAAGCTAAAACAAAAGCAGCCATGTAAATACTGCTCACTGCTCCACTAAGTTTCCTTGCTGATCCTGCTCAAATTCACTTTTTTAAACCATTTTTTTTTTTTTAGCCCAGGGAACAATATTGCAGCCTGGCAGTTCACATACTGATATCAGACCGAAATGATGGCTGTGAATCATAAAACATGTCATCAACTTTCTACGAAGCCACCAATAACCTTTGTGCCGTTCGCCAACCCTCCTTTTACCTGTCAGTGCAAGGCTTACCTGATTGTGTTTCCAATTACAGAGAAGGGGGCCCCAGCTCTGCAAGCTGCAATTGCTTCATCTCTACACCTCCTGGCCACCTCTACTAACTTTTTACCACATTCATCCACATTGCCCACCAGAAAGGTCTCAGAGGTGTCTCCATGGTAGCCATTGTAATAGACCTAAACACAGGCACAGATTTTAAGGTACGTCCTTGTCTGGAATCCTGTTCGCCTACAGTATATACACTGTTTATGTATTTAGTAAATTCATTATCTTCTCAGAGTTAATTTCAAGCTCACGTATTAAAGAAAAAAAGGATATACTAAAACCATTGTGAGATTTAAAAGCTAAAACCATGTGATGATCCTGCAAAACCTAAAAACGAACAAATGGGCAGCTCAGTTACTTCAGCTTGGTGATTAATAGTACTATCGGGGCATTGTGATCCCTCATTTTAGTTCTGAGAAAGCGAAGCTATGCTTGGAAAATTTAGTTACCAGATACATTGCCCTGCAATTACCACAGTAGGTTTAGAAAATTAAGTATTTAGCATAGTAAAACATGTCCTCAGTGTCATGAGGATTTACATGCTCTTTATTTACAAGCTCTATACTCAGAAACGATACATAACGACAGGAAGAAATAAGACAGACACGTCAGCCACTGTAATGGCCGGCAGTAGAATCTCACGCTAAGAATTGAAGTGGCTCAGTACAGTAATGAAATATGGTGGGAAAATTCGACGTCTAGAAATGAAATTTGAACCAAACATTCCAGACAGCACAATGAGAACACTCCATGTGGATTTTTAAAGAATTAGAACGTATCAAAGCCAGCTTAGAAGTAAAATCACAGAGAGCTAATTCTATCAGTCTTCAATGACTCAGGAGCTCCATGTGATCTTGAACAATATCAGGTTCATCATGAAAAATCAATAGTTAGCAAACACTAGAATACATGCAGAAGGCAGGAGACTAGTTGACCATTGATCCTTGGATGTAGCATGGCATTTACTATTTCGCATGAATTTATCCTAATTATCTTCCTAGTTCTCCTTTCCCTAAGGTAGAGTGCACAGACTCTTCGAGAGAGGCTGTTTGTTTATGACTTCCGTTTGAATTAACGCCACGCCCATACACTGATGCACACTGAAGAAGCTCTTTTAGATGGCGAGGAGATGAGAAGCCGTCACAGAGATCTCTGGCTTTCAAGGCAGGAAACCGAGGCACAAGTGACTTGTTAAGGTTACTGGCAGAGTATCCCCCAACCAATCTGACAGACTGATGGCTTCTAATAGCAGACCCTTCTAAGGCTATAACAGTAGTGTTTTCTAATTTATTCCCACTTATATTCCTTTACAGAAGAATATAAGCATTTTTCATATGTAAGAATATAGAATTTGCTAATATAATTGTAATTATTCAAGAAAATTTGTAACTGTGTTTTTAAGTAAAAATGTACCGTTTAAATTCATTTAACTTGCTGTTTTATAATACTTTAACATGAAGATATATTAAAATTATTTATTTTGTGTATACATATGTCTATGTGCGTACGTGTGCACACATGCTGTGGCACGTGTGTGGAGACCAGAAGACAATGCAGGAGTCGTTTCTCTCCTTCCACCACGTGGGTCCCCGGGATTGAACTCGGGTTGTCAATTCTGGCAACAGTGCTTTTACTTGCTGATCCATTTTATCAGCCCTATTACTTTTTAATAACTCTTAAAATAACTATTTCAAGGACTCACTACACATGGAACACAACGCTTGTGTGTGTTCCTGGGGACTGAACCCAAGGCTTTGCACAGGCATGGCAGGAAGAAGATGCTCTCGAAAGACGGGCAGTCAACTGTAGCTACAGTTTGTCCCCACAAACTATCCTAAGGCTCCATCTAACAAGTATTAACTGAGCAACTACTATGAACACCACATTGTCATAAAAAATTAACTTTCAAGAGAAAAAGCAACTCATTTTCTTGTGGTACATAGTAGACATAAGACAAAATGGGTATTCCAGACAAAAGCATGGGAGCTGGAAATGCAGTTCTTCAGTTAATAAAATATTTCATAAGAAATACAATTTTTTTGATACTGACAAATATGTCTCTTAGGCCCCTTTACATTTCTAGACACTAGAAAGTGTTTCAAGTGAGCTTAAGAATTGTTGGAATAGTTTAAGCTTCAGAAATGAAATTCTATCTTTATTAAAAGCCTTTAGAAAACCCAGAAATAATGCGCTCTCTCTGGGCATGTTGGAAACACCATGGGAGATGTCCCACCTCACTCGAGCAGCAATATTTTATTAGTGGGTGATTAGGTGAGGTAATAAACGTGAAACCCTAAAATCAGGTCCAATCCAAGATAAAATGGCTCACAAGAGAGACTTGACGTCGGGTGCACTTCACCAAGCCACCTCCCACCCAATTCTGAGTGGGAGAGACCCTACCAGGAGGTGCGGAATGACGCTCAAGCATCCTGAGACACAATGGCACGGGAAGTAATATGAGCCAGAATTGTCTGGCTGTCCCTGTGCAGAGAGGGAAGAAACGAGGCTGGATTAACTTAAACAGCTGAAAATCTAACACAATCTACGGATGCCTGTTTCCATCGCATTCCCACTGCCACTCGGCTTTCCGTCTGGAAATGAAATAACTATTATTACAAGTATTTACTCTCTAATAGAGAATGTGTTTTGTGAATAGCACCCGTCCCCAAGAGTCGCTGCTAGATGCTCACATTTTATTTATCTAAAAGTTATTAATTAGTTAGAGACGTGCAGATTTTATTTGTCCTTTTTACAATTCAAAAGGCACCACTACAAACAATCTGAAATGAAATGAGCACAAATAATCCCCAAGTCTGAGGATGGCGAGAGGCTAAGGAAATCGGAAATGGTTCCCCTTGGACAATTTTCAGCCCCTAAGTTAAATCACTTCGGCTTGTTATTTAAAAAGAAAGGCCATCAACCAGTTGGTGAAAACTTAAATTCAGACAGAAAAACCATTCTGCTTGTGTCCTCTGAGCTCAGGCCTCTCTATGCCAGAGATGGAACACAACGTTACCTTCAGGGATTTTAATAAATCTAGGGAACAGGGCTAGCAAAAGAGTTGCTGTCCAAATAGACTGACACGCAGGCCAATGTAGCCCCTAATGACAGAGTAAGATAATGACAGGCCCCACTCAAAATCAGCAGGAAGAGGAAGATCAATCTTGGCAGAGTGAAGGAAAAATGCTGGCTTTCTTCGCGTTAGCTCATCTCATACATATCTAGCCTCAGCAGCTGCCTAGTGCGGTGGTGTTCTGCATTAACTACACAGTGGATCAATAACAATTACACCTTCTCAAAAACATGACACATAGCAGGATTGGGCTGACATTTCACTTAGCCAACATTGATCTCAGTGCATCTGATTCCAGCCCGAAATTCAAGGCAGGCCTGGCTTTGCTTGGAATAAACACGGAGTTAAAGACAAAAAGGGAAACCAGCTGCTGTGTCCGGGGCTGGAAGTAAACAGCGCTCCCCGAGCAGGCACAGTTCACATTTTCACGTCGCTCTCCTTCCTGTTGCTACTAGTAATTCTGAAGTTGATCACAGATGATTTTTTTTTAATATGATTTACTCACCGTGACATCAATGTTGATAATATCCCCATCCTGAAGAGGTCGGCTGAAACAGAAACAGAGCACAAATGGTGATCGACAGATCTCAATAAAGAGAAATGTGAAAATGAGCGCCCACCGACCACTACTGCAAACCCAGTGTGCTGCGGTGACAAACCGCATGGAGCAGGGGCGGCTGGAGTAGCCAGATCTGACCTTTGTCTGTCGTTAATCACGCCACACTTTATGAGAAATACAGGAAGCAAGCATTGCTGCCTTAAGATTTCATGATTCTTTAAAGAGATAGACTTCCTAATTACCGTAAGTTTGCAAACAGCCAAAACAATAGCTGTCAATAAAATCTGCCTCCATTACCGTGTGGTAAAAATTGAGTAAGTTGAAAGAAATAGGCAATGTACAAACTGCTGCTTTAAGAAACATCAAATGGTGATGTTAAATCCACGTAGAAGTAAAACACCTCAACGTTTTTATTTTATCGCAATCAGTTTCAGAAGCGTGAATGCAGGTAGGTTTCAACTGAACCACAGGATTTTTCAATATGTGCTAGGGATCTTAGTTTCCAGAGGAACAATACATTATTGAAAAATGAGCACCTGTCAGGAATGCCATGGCAGAGCACGTTGTTCACAGAGGTGCAAACAGATTTTGGAAAGCGTCCATAGCCCAGAGGTGAGGGATAGGCATCGTGACTGATGATTTCCCGATGAACTAGAGCATCAATCTCTTCTGTTGTCATGTCAACCTGAAATAGTAAATAAAGTGTGCAGTGACAGTTGGAGACATTTCCTGTATGTATTGCCTGTGTCTACAACAACAGCACTGCCAAGGTGAGACTGTATAAATTCGCCATGATGAATTCAGGGTGTAGCAGTAATGGTTCATGACTCCCGCCACCTCCCTCAACTGTGCTCTCTAGATCATTTGGGTACATGGTGGTGTCATAAACCATCAGGGAATACAGCGAGTCACTAAATGATGGCTCCTATTAGCCTGATGATTTCAACAGTACGTCTTCCGTCAATCCCTTCCTCTTCCTCTGGCTAAAGGAAGCACACAAATAAGTGTACAAACAGAATGCTGGCTTAGAGGAGCTTCACCTACACCTTTTTATCATGTTGAAACACCGCATGGGCGAGCTTTGCAGCAACGACAGGGAGGTGATGGACCGTTACTTTAAAAACTCAGTCTCTAACGCCTTTCATAGAGATTTTATTCTCTATAAGCTTGATTTCTTTCATGCCTAGAAAAGTATGTTTTAATGTTTCCCATACTAGAGAATATCCAACTATTTTCCAATGAAGAGAACTGAAATTGAAGGGTCTTGCTTTGTTCTGTTTTGCATTGCTGGGGATTGAACCCGGGCCTCAATTACGCTAGGCAAGTGTTCTGCGGTTTAGCTATACCCCAACTCCAGAAACTGAGTTTCACAAGCACATGAAGACTATCTCTTCAACAAAGTAAAATTACTCAGGATATGTTAACTACTTCCTCAGTAATTTTCTGTCTTGGTTGATATCCACATTATCCTTGGTTATGTCTAATAGTCAATTACCCAGGTGACATAGTAAGCAAATTCATCACTGAGTCCCACTTTGAAACTAGGTTTATATTTTTTTATGAACTATAGATAGTAAGATGTTTGGGTGATTCTGAAAGGCCTGACGCTTGTAGCAGTTTCTGTATGTATGTATGTATGTATGTATGTATGTATTATGTACGTATGCATGCATGCATGTATGTATATCACCATGTTACTGTGGTTTTCGTATTGGGCCTACCCTTTCTTTGTAAAGAACATTCAAGAAAAGAAGAGGCAGACTACAAGGTAGGGCCAACACTTTCAACACATGGTGGTGATGTGGGAAGTGAGCAGAGCACAGGCAGAGGAAAGGCGGCAAAGCCAAAGTCCTCTGTCACAGCACCTTGGAGAGGCTGAGTCAGAACTCTGCCAGTTACAACTGAATTTAGAAGTTTACATTATTTCTTGGGCAAACACATAAAATAGTAAAATCCCCCTTTACTGTCTTAAAGCTTTACTTTAAAAAACCAAATTGCAAAGGGGGAGTTAAGGAGAAAGAGAGAGAGAGCCCGTATGTAAGTTACGCTGGCTTGGTACCACCTTCAAGCTCTTCCCAGCCAGGAGGAGGATGTGCCGGGCCAGCTGACAAGCCTCGCGGAGCCCTCGGATCTGATCTTCAGTCTTAAGTTCTATGATGTCGCCCCAGTCGGGCACAACGCCTGTCGTCACATAGTCTGGCTTCTTTATGTGCTTCGGGAAAAAGGATTGAACACGAAGATCAGAACCCAGCACATGACAATGGCATCATTTTTTTCAGACACAGCCTCCTGCTTCATGGAGTTCTGCCCTTCCTGCCGATGCACCGACCTCCATAGCCAGCGCAACAGACCTCCGGGCTACCCCCAGTTCCTTCCCTTGCCCTTTTGAACTTAACATCGCTTAGTAATGCTTCTCTGGATGGGCTGTTAACCTCACAGGCTCTGAGTCCGGTTCTGCTGAAGTAGACTTCTGGTCAAAACAAACAGCAGTTTTCTGTTCTTTACTCCACCCAAGCCCCTGAGATGCAAGGCCCCTGGAGGAAAAAGCGCCAAGTCTCCAACCCGCACAATGCTTAATTAAACACTCTCATCTTCTTCAAGCAATGCTAAAATGTAGGCAAAGGACAGCTCTCAACACCCTCCCCAACGAGTCCATGTAAAAGGGTATTAAGTTCATGGGGCCTGCCACATACACAGTCTCACACTGGGTAACATGACAACCGAGCACTAGACAAAACAGCTTCCTTCCTTCATGTCTTTTCCAGGGACAATAAAATTACCTAGAACGTTTCCACCGTTTATCAAGAAGAACGAAGAGCCTGCGCCTAACCCAAAGTCAAACACCCAAGCCTGATGCCTCCTGTGGCTGGTTCTCCAGCACTGAAACTCACTAGCGGCTTTGGGAGGTACCAGTATCTTATGCACAGCTTCTGTCTGCCCCAGGGTCTGCAGGGCCCTTCCTGAGCTATTTATAGCAATAGTACATAAAACTGCTGACCACCACACAGTAAGGCCATGCAGAAGTTTGGACCAGGAGTCATACTTAAGGCTCTGCAAGGCCGAGAGGTTGGGGCTCTTGTGTTTGTGAAGAGCGCCAGGTCAGACCTCTTATTCCACTGTTCAAGAAGGGCTTTTTTCCCCCCTTATCTGTCTGCACTTGAAACAGGGTCTCTCACTGAACCTGGAGCTCACAGGTAGCCAAAAGCTCCAGGGTTTCATTTGTGTCCACACCCCCACCCGCCTCAGCACTAGAATTACAAGCACACACCAGCAGCAGCTGGGATTTATGTGAGCGCAGGGGATCTGAGCTCAAGTTCTTACACTCGTGTAGCAAACACGTAGGCAATAAGCCATTTCTCCAGCTGGAAGGGTTTTTGTTATTCAGGTAATAGAATGGCCTGGTTTGTCAAGCTGAGCCCTGAAGAAGCATCTCCTCTCCTATAGTGACCCCCACCAACTCTCTCAGAATTCCAGGTCTCTCCCCAACAAGCCTATGTTCTTATTTCTGCTCTGTGAGCTGTCTTGGTTATAGCTATAGGCAGGGGGCTGCTGGGTTGTCTCTGAAACTGGCTAAAATGCATAATACAACACATTTCTTTTAACTAAAGGTGTGTGTGTGTGTGTGTGTGTGTGTGTGCGTGCGTGTGTGTGTGCATGTGTGGATACAACTATGCATTCATATGGATACAAATATGCCTAAGTGCAGAGGTGTGGAGACCACAGGATATCTGATGTCTTCCTTAATTGCTCTCTACCCGAATTTTTGAGACAGAGTCTCTCACTATATCTGGAGCTTGCTGACTTGACTAGACCGACTGGCCAGTGAACCCTAGGGTTCTACCTGTCTCTGCCTCCCCTCCCCAGATCTCGGATTACAGACATATGCTGCAGTCCTGGTTTTATGTGCGTGCAGACCCTCATGTTTACAGAACAAACGCTCTAATGAATGAGCCACCTCCCTGGCCTTAGAGATTTCTTTTTGTTTTTACTGAAGCAAAATAATGTCAATTTTATGATTCGTACCAAATGCTGGTTTGGTTCTCTCTACAATGGCCAAATCTAAGCCAAGCTAGGACTTTTAGCTCCTCTGTCTCTCAACCCTTACTATAAAAACGGACTACTCGCCTTCAGGAGCTATGTTCAGTGTGATTCACAATAAAGAAAAAGAGTGTACAAGGAAGAGAGAGGTGATGTTCAGGACAAGTCTGTATTTCTTGTAGCTATTTTCCTTCTTCCTAAATGACACCTTACAACGTCTTTGCATTTTCAAAGACAGATTGTCTTTCCACAATACTGAAACCTTTGGTGGGAGAATCAAGAATGCTTTGGCTTTTATTTAATTTACTCTAAAAAATTTTATTCAAAGACAGTAGGATTAGTAACGTAGAAAATTGAAGGGATTAAAAACATCCAGTATGCTAATTTCCATGAATTTCTCTTGAATCATTCCAATTTTACAGTAATTTTCCCTAAAAAGTCACAAACTATATACACAGTTTTAGTCACATATTGAAATTTAATAAAAATTTTCATAATTAAAAGTTGAAATTCAAGATAAGCTAAGCAGTTGTTTGCCCAGACCTTTATTTTTGTTTTAACAGACAGCCTCGAACTGCAGGATGTTAAAATGTCTTCTGTTACAATTTGAAATCACAAACTGAGTTTTAAGTTCACCCTTGCCCACCAGAAAGAGAAGCAGCCTGCATCAGTATGGTACCTTGGGGACAGGATGTGCGGGAGAAACTGCAGCCGGCAAAACTATATTGTGGGAGAGATCCCTTTGTCTCCAGAAAAAGAAATTTCTTCTTTGTTGATTGCCTGACCGCTTGTATAAGCAGAGATGATTGAGTGGAGAAGACAAAATTCTCTGACAACCTATGAGAAGAAATAGATGGCGTTCAGGTTAAGAAGACAGACAGAAAGAAAAGACATTAACGGTGTTGCCCCTAAAGGTGCTATACCTATTAAATCATTAGTCTCATTCTTTATTGACTCAAAAGAGAAAGCCCCAGAGAGAAAGGGGCCAGCAGTATTCTGGTACAACAGTAGCACACCATATTGACTAACTGGCACTGTTTACATAAATTCCTGACAGTGGAGAGCTTTACTCTAATAGGAAATAAACATATGGGAAGATCTGCCCCGCAGCAGGTATGGAAAAGAACAATTTCTGCTTCAGTACCTTGTGTGACGATGTCCAGATAACCCTAGAGTTCAGGGCACTACTTTGGCGGCTCTATACTCTTTAAACCATTTTCCCTTCAAAAGCCACAGACAAATTGCCGGCTGCACTTTTGGCCTCCATAGGATCGCGACTGTGTGTTAAGTTCTTGTGCATGGAGGCATTATACCAAAATTCACTGCGATGAAGGCTCGAGTTGGACCAAATAGCAAAAATGTCGGTGAAACCAAAGGAAACAAGTGTAGGTATTTAGAGACATTTATTAAAATAATAAAAGCACATCTTTTGAGTCAACAATTTATCTCCTTAGAATTTTTTGGGTTTTTTTTTCTTGGTTTTTTGAGACAGGGTTTGTCTGTGTAACAGTCCTGGAACTTGCTTTGTAGATAGACCAGGCTGGCCTCAAACTCACTGAGATCCTGCTGCCTCTGCCTCCCAAGTGCTGGGATTACGGGCATGCACCACCATCGTCTGGCTATCTCTTCAGACTATAGCCCACAGATAATATGTAATCGTGGATGTATGGAGCCACACCTTTACTTAGGGATTGTTTGGGTAGAAAACTGTGAAGTAGCCTGATTTCAAATGAGAAGTATCAACAGAGGATGGGCCACATATATAATACAGTCCATTGACACAACAGAAAATTCTGAAACCATTAAGAAGAACGAAGCTAACTATGGCAGTGTACATTCACTTGGGACACAGAGACGGGAGGCTCGGTTCACAGTCATCCTCAGATGCACAGTGAGTGTGACATCATCCTGAGCTACACAGGACTCCTTCTCAGGAGAGTGAAAGGCGCTAAGTGGTCTCTGTGCACTGATAGGCAGAGACCGCAAGGTACTGTTCTGGGAAAGCACACACTGAGTAACAGGCATGCGAAACCTGTTAGGCGGGGGTGGGGGTGGGCATGGTCAAAATACTTTTGTGTACATGTAAGAAATTCATAAGGAATAAATTAAAAAACCATGTCCAAAAAAGAAACCCATTAAGCTTACACATTTAAGGCTTGTATACGTCTATACATTGCCAAGATTAATATTCATCAACAGTGGGAATTTCTAGAGTGTGTAATTAGGGTAGGAGGAGGGAAGACTTTGGTTCATTTTATTTTCTTCTATACTGTTAGCTTTTAAAAACCATCTATGTCTCAAAAAGAATCTACTTCCATTACTATAACAATAAAAGTAATCATTTAGAACAACCCCCCATGGGTCACAACTATAAGACAGGCTGGCAAACTCCAGCCTAAGGGCCAGATCTGGCCTGCTGCCTATCTTTATACAGTTTAACACCAAAAAAATGGGTTTTTACATTTATAAGTGGTTGGGGAAAAATTCAGAAGCAACAGTATCTTGTAAGGCGAAATTCAGATTTTGGTGCCCATACCTAGCCTGAGCTATTTACAACTGGTCAGGACTGTGTCTCAGCTAAGGCAGCGTTGATTAGCTGCGACAGAGCCTGAACCATTACCCCTCAGGCCTGCCCAGCCGCTGCTGATGTCACCACTGCTGATGTCACCACTGCTCATGTCACCACTGCTGATGTCACCACTGCTGATGTCACCGCCGAGTCTCACTCTGAGTCGCCCAGGCCAGGAGAATCAGCCATGAGGGAAAAGAGAGATTCTCAGTGGACCATCCTCCACGGGATGAGGGGAGCGGGCTTTCAGGAGCTCAGTAACCCCCAAGCACTTGGGAACTGCTGGCCCTAGAGTCACATCTCAGCTGTGAGAACTGGAGGAGGATTGAGCCCCAAGGTCAGCGTTGCTTGGGAATTGGACAAGGCATGAGATTCAACGTTCAAAGTTTCATTCAGTTATGTTTTTCTCTCAGCTTGAACTCGGTACTGTTAACTCAGATACACAGAGAGAGGGGTTTGGGGTAATACATGTACCACTGCATCACATAAATAATGCTGAATAGCGCATATTAATGTATGTTTGCTATGTTTTTACTTTTCTACACTGCTGGGATAGAGCCCTGTAGACAGACAGGTTCACACCCTCACAGAGCTAAAATCCCTAGCCACACTGGGCCCTAATATTATTTTAGACAATTCCAAATAGCTGACAAGAGGCCAGAAAACCATTTATTTTCTTTTTTTTAATGGTTTGCTGTTTTTATTTTATTTTTGAAATGGGGCCTGGTCTGTTGACCAGGACAGTCCTGAACTTCAGGGCTCAATGTATTTTCCAATCTCTGCCTTCTGAGAGGTCAAGAGTGTATTCAAAAGTCACCACATTCAGCTCTAAAAGGACTTAAACAAATGGGTACATGTTTCCTGTTTTTTAAGGTATTAATTTTTTCTAATGAGGAGATGGGAGATATCCTAGTTGGTAAACATGAAAACCTGAGTTTGACCCCCCCCCAAACCAACATAAAGAGTCATGTGAAGCCGGGCGGTGGTGGTTCACACCTTTAATTCTAGCACTTGGGAGGCAGAGGCAAGTGAAGGGTTTCAATGAGAAAAGACACATGAACACAACAACTTTTTAAAATTTAACTATTTTAATTGATTCGTTGGGAGTTTCATATCATGTACCCCAATTCCACTCACCTCCCAGTCCCCCCATATCCTCCCCTCATCCCTGTGGCACCCTCCAAAGGAAATAAAACACAGTAAGCAAGCAAGTAAACAAACAAAAACAAGAACAAAACTAACAAAACAAAAACAATAAAAACCCTTCTTCTTTTCTGCCTCTCCAACACCTCTTTGTTCGTCCTGGTGGCATTGGGGGCCTCGGTGTGTCATACAGTAGACCCTTCCATTCTATCAGTTTTATTAATGAATGATCATTGTCACGAGTCATTGGTCTGGCTCAAGGCCTCTGTTTCTGGTCCACCATCATCACTGGATCCTCACCAGAACTGCTATGGGATGTTTCGTGGCTGCCCCAAGTCATGGAGATCCTGCTGGTATTGTTCCACAGGATCAGCCCCTTCGTGAGCTCCAGCAGGCCTTAGATGGGTAGATGCTAGGGTAGCCAACCCAAGGCCTGGCCAGCTGTGGGCCTGAGTGGAGGCTGAGCTGGTCAGTCAAGACCACTGGGGTCACCCAGCTCAGGAGAGGGGGGTGGAGTCAACTCACCTAGTCAATGCCCTCAGAGTCAGTTCACCATCACCTGTGGTGGGGTAGGGCTGTCTCTCTGGAGTGGAGAGGTCAGCTCTCTTGCTGTAGTGTTCAGTGAGACGCAAGGCCAGCTTTCCCAGGGCCAGCAAAGGGACTATGGCAACTCTTATAAAGGAAAACATTGTTGGGAAGTGGTGGCACACACCTTTAATCCCAGCGCTTGGGAAGGCAGAGGCAGGTGGATCTCTGTGAGTTCAAGGTCAGTCTGGTCTACGGATCAAGTTTCAGGACTACATTCATAGAGAGACCCTGTCTCAAAAACAACAAACAAGCAAACAGAATGTAGTGATTCAGATTTAACAACTGCTTTTTGATGACCCTCACTGCTAGATGCTCATTTTATCCCTACTGGTCCTTACTGACTGTTAGGTAGGCAACAGTTGTTCACGCCGCTGTTTAAAGATGAGGAAATACACACTCAGAATCAACAACCAGGCCCCCGCCAGCTCTCCATTCCCAAGCCTAGGGCTGCGACCACCACACCGCCACTAACAGCATGCCAGGGCTCTGAAGTCCAAATATGCCTGGCCGAAAACTGCAACGTTCATGATTTGGATTTTGAAGGAAGTTTTTGCTTGTTTGTTTAATCTTGAAAAATATGTCTTGTGCTCAGTTAACATTTAGAACGAAGACATCTTTTTCATGGAAATTCTTAGAGGAACTGGGAGGCATATGCTAACAAAGTCAGATAGATCTGTGTTGCCAAAACTTCTGCAAGGGTGCTCTTCCTCCCATGAGGCGAGGAGGTAGGTAAGACAAGAGTGTGGGAATGATCGCCAAAGAGCAGCTGCTCCGCACATGACCGCTCTTCCCCCCCCCCTCCACTCTTTAGTATTTATCTGTGTGACACCCAGCTTTATCATTTGCTCAACACTGCGTTTACTGTTTCCACTCTCGTGTTTCCACATCCTAGATCCAGGAAACACAGTGGCCCCAGCTTTCAAGGGAAGTACATTCCTGTAGGGGAGGCAAACATTAAGTCAACAGAATGGAAGGAGGGATGAAAGCCAGGCTGGAGAGACGGCAGTGGGCGGTACTGTGGAGTCCACTCTTGGTCCTCAGGGAGTGGTGTGACAGTTGTCTAGCAAGGGCAGTGACAGTGAACTCTGACCCACGGAGCGCTTCCTTGTGCCAACACCTTGTTGAGTGGCTCCCAGGTGTTTCTGAGATAGAAGGCTCAGCACTGGCCTGCGTTCAGCAACACTTAACTGCCCTGCTACAGCCAGACAGCGGGTGATAGAGACTCAGATCAATTTTATCACACAGGATTATTTTCAGTGTGGCTGATTACATGAAAGAGAGGCCATCTTTATCAGTACTACCAAGTTCAAGTACATAGGCATTACAGGGGAATCCTTTTTATGTACTTAAACTTGAATTATGAAACCATCAGGTCTCCACTGGGATGCTTGGGTAAGGCTTGTGAGGTATTCACTTTCTGGGTGAACAGTGTGGCTAATGTATCTGTCCTGCCAAATGGTGGTCTCACTGCCAGAAAGATACAGGCATCCCCCACCCCAGCAACTGTATGGGCAAACACCAAACACTGGAAGCTCAG